GGACACAGTACCTTTATTTTATTTATTTATTTTCATGTGGTGCTGAGGATCGAATCCAGGGCCTTGCATGTGCTAGGCGAGTGCTCTACCACTGAGCCACAACCCCATCCCCAACCATAACCCCAGCCCCATACCTCCTGATATTACTTTCCTTGGTGGGAATATAGGCAACTTTTTTTTTGAGAGAGAGAGAGAGAGAGAGAGAGAGAGAATTTTAATATTTATTTTTTAGTTTTCAGCAGACACAACATCTTTTTTTGTATGTGCAACTTTTAATGAAATTTTGAAGGAGTATGGCCAAAAAGATGTAGATAAAATAAGAAGTCCTAAACACCACATATGTAGTGGGGAAAGGGGTGGGACATAGGAAAACAACTTGGGGAAAACCTAAGAGTGAGATATTTTTGGAGACCCTACTACTAGAACAGTGGACTAGGGGGGCTGAGGTAAAACAGAAGAGCCTAGACCTAATAAGAAAGAATTATGAAAAGTGTTTGAAGAATTTGGAAACTGTTAAGCTGATGCTATTTGGAAGTAATTGGAGAAGGCCTTTGAATTTAAGTTTGAGAAAATTACAGCAGTAGCACATAATAGGCTGAGTGTCAGGCTCCATCAAACATGAGAAGTAGAAATTTAAGAAAAACAAAGGAAGAGAGAAGATTTTGTTACAGCTTGATAAGGAGAAAAAACCAAATGGGTTCTAGATGACTCTTATATTTCGTACTTGGGAGATGGATGAGATGGTAGCACTTTTCATAGTGATCTTAGAAGCTTAATGGGTTAAAGATGTTTAGTAAACAGTGATTCACTTTTTTTTTTTTTTTAGTTATACATGGACACAATATATTTGGTTTTTTTTTTTTATTTTATGTGGTTATGAGGATTGAACCCAGGGTCTCTCACATGCGAGGCGAGTGCTCTACCACTGAGCCATAACTCCAGCCCCTGATTCACTCTTCTTGTGTATAAAATACCCAGGAACACCCATGAAACAAATCCTATATTTGGTTTTGTGAGCAGTAAGAAGTGCCTTCTTTCATGAGATGGAACTGGATGCCTAATAAAAGCTTGTGGGAGGCATATAGTGTAATAATAAAGGGAAGAACAAGCCAATACTTTCTTTCTTTTTTTCTTTCTTCCTCTGTTTCCCTCTTTCTCTCTCTCTTTGTTTTTGTTTTGTGGTGCTGAGGATTGTACCCAGGGCCTTGCATGCGCTAGCCAACTGCTCCACTATTGAGTTGTATCCCCAGCCCCAAACTGATGTTTTTTAAGGGAGCCTTGGAAAAGACTTTGTTTTGTTTTAAAGTTAGCACTTTAATAGAGTAGAACTTAATGAGATAGGTGGATACTGATGCTAAGATTGATAAAATTATTGATGGCCATTCAGAATAGTCCAACATGAAAGGCAGAAATGCTGTTTTCAATATATAAAAGAATGGTACACATTTTATTAACCTATACTTTTTTAGCATATAACCACTTATTAGTATAGAATGATCTGGAAATAGTTTTATACAATTTAGACTATAACTCATATGCATTTGTATTCTTGTTTTTGAAATTAAATCATTAGTTTTCCTAGATGTATATATGGAAGAAATTCACTTCTTTCAAATAGTATCTTAAGAAAGTCACTGTGTGCTGCTGAATATTAACTGTATTGTTCTATCCCTGATTATGGACCATAGTAATAAGAATAAAGTCATATATAAATGTAAATTTTTTTCTTTTTTTTTGTATTGGGGATTGAACCCAGGATGCTTTACCACTGAGCCACATCCCTAGCCCCCCCCCTTTTTTTTTGTATTTTATTTAGAGACAGGGTCTTGCTAGGTTGTTTAGTGCCTCTCTAAATTGCTGAGGCTGGCTTTGAACTTGTGATCCTCCTGCCTCAGCTTCACAAGTTGCTGGGATTACAGGCATGCACCACTGCACCCGGTTTAAGTGTACTTTTTAATTCTGCAAGAATGTAGCTTGTTTAAAATTTTTATATGGTTTAAATTATCTTTTAATTTACATTTTTGGTTGATGAAGTTGAAATATTTGGTAAGGGTCATACTTATTTGTTCAATAATATTTAAGTAATTTATGTCAGGCTCAGTTTGAGGCTCTAGAAATATAGAGATAAATAAGCCTTGACCAAGCATATATCTTAGTAGGGAAGACAGGAAGTAAGTAAATCTGTTGTGTGAAAAAATGATATATTCTGTGAAAAAAAATGTAACTGGGTAAGAAGAGAGTGTGATGGGGTGGAAGCTATTTAGGTAGATTAGTCGGCGAAGGCTGTTGAAGGAAGCAGAAATATGAGTGAAGAAGAAAATCTTGCAAAAATATATTCAGTTGGTGGGAAGAGTAAATGCAAAGAATGAGTCAGGATCTGGCTCAGTGAGAACCAGTTTGGTATGTTGGAGGAAAAGTAAGAAAGCTGGTCTGGCAAGAGCAGTGAGAGCAAAGTGGAGACTAAAGGAGATGAGGGTGAGGAGGTAGGCAAGGGCTATTGAAGGTTACTGCCATGCATTTTAAGTGTAAATGGAGGCCTTGGGCCAACTCTGGTCAGAATTGTGACGTGATCTGATTTACTTTTTTTTTTATATATATATATATATATTTAGTAGTGAACACAATACTTTTTATTTTACTTATTCATTTTTTTGTGGTGCTGAGGATCAAACTTAATACTTCACATGTACTAGGCAAGTACTCTACCACTGAGTCACAACCCCAGCCCCAGATGAACTTTTTACACAGTTTATTCCAGCCACTAAGTGAAAAACTATAAGAAAGGCATGGTCTGAAGCACTGGCCCACTTAGAAGCTTTCATTGTCATCTAGGCCATGTTTTCAATGTGCAAGGAACAAACTGTTTTTGTATGTTTTTATTTTTTTAAACAAACTAAGCTTTACTAATATTTAATGTATAGATCAGCACTGGAGCTCCCATTCTATGTGCATGTTAGTTATATTTCAAGTTAGTTCACTTGCCATTTTTAGCCTGAGCAACTGGATGAATGCTGGTGCCATTAACTGAGAAGATGAAGGGAAGAGTAGAGATTGTTTTAGATGGGGGTGGGGAATTAGTAACTCAGTTTTGGGCATTTTAAATTGGAGATGCCTATAAATATCCATTGTAATTTATTCAGTAGGTGATTTAACTATACGAGTACAGATCCAATATTAGAAACCAAGATTACAGATCCATGTTTGGGAGTAAAAGAGGCAGCATACACCACTTTGGAGCCAAATTCTGTGAATGTACATTACAGTTATGCAATTTACTGTATAATTGTGGGCATGTTATTTGATATCTCTTTGCTTCATTTGCCTTGTCTGTAAAATGAGGATAATAATATCAACCTCACAGGATTGTTGTGAAGGTTAAATGAGCTAATAGGGCAAACTTCTTAGAGCAGACTGACATATCATAATTGTTAGAGGTTAAATATTACTATCGGCTTATGAATGGTGTTTAAAACCATAATTCATAAGATTAGATGAGATAACTTAGAGTGTGGATATAGATAGAGAAAAGGACTGAGGAAGAAGCCTTAAAGCAATACATTTTTTAGAATTCAGGAATTGGAGAAGAGAAACTGAGGAGTCAAAACCAGAAAGGTGTGGTAGCTGGAAGCATGCCTAGAAAATAAAGTATTTCAAGGGAGAGAAGTCATCAACTTGGACAAATCCTGCTTGAGAGACTGAGTAAGATGAGAAATGACTATTGGGTTTGTCAAGATGGAAATTGTTGGAGACCTTGAGAAATGGTTTTAGTAGATTGGTGAGGATAGAAGCCTTATTAGAATGGGTAAAGGAGAGAATTGAAGGTACAGAATATTGAAGGTACAGCGAGTATATATGACATGTTAGAGGAATTTTGCTGTAAAGAGGATAAATGGAGTAGTAGTAGAGGAAAATAAGTGAGGTCAAGGAAAGGTAGAGATGAGTGTGGGTGTGTATTGACTAAAGATGGAAAGTCAGTATAGCATACGATTTGTATGAGCTGATCAGGATTGACCCAGTTAGCGGAGAAAAATTATCATTTGAGTAATTGATAACATTAGAGCAGATTGACATCATACTTTGTTAAATATTATTATCAGCTTATGAATGGTGTTTAAAACCACAGGAAATTGCAGCAGTCGTGACTGTGAGCAGGTAAAATGAAGTAGTGTATAAGGAGAGGGTTAGTCTCTAAGACATCACAGAGCCAGTTCATCCATTAATGAGGGTCAAGAATACTAGTGGAAGTGCAGATGGATTGGTACATATGGTTATGGGAAAATGAGATAATTTTTCCTGGTTGTTTTAATTTTTACAAGATGGGGCAGAATCATCAGGGATAATGTTGGAGAGAGAGGCAATGGTGTTGGGGCATTTCGGAAGGTGAGAGAATGAATTGACTGGGGAAGATCTGGAAGGCAGATTGTCAAGGAGTTCAGAAGGCCTATTTGACATAGTGATTGTTAGCTGAAAGTGATTCTGGTTTTGCAAGGAGGGAAGTGTGGTTTTAAGGGTCTGGAGGAGATATACAGTGAAAAGGTGGTGGAGGCAATACTTTTAATTCTTCTGTTTTAATGAGAAGTCAAATGTCTCTTAAGTCCTATGATGAGAATATTGCTTTTGAAATGTTCCTCCAGTTCATGGGCATGGCAAGTAGTCAACAAAGGAATTAAATAGTCATTAATTTTTGCCTATGTTCAGTGTATAATTATGTTTTATGATGAGTTACTAGAAATGCTTCTGGAATATGCCTGTTTTACACAAATTATAGCAAGCAGGCCCTTGTCACTTTGAGTAGATTATACTTTGTTGCTGAGTTACATGAAGAAAGTAAAATGTTTTAATGGAGAAGCTCCATTGTTTTTTCCTGATAGACATAACAGTCTCACCCAGTTACCCTAGGACCTGTGGTTTTCATTAATTTATAGTTATCACCTATGTTGATTTCATACTTTTATGTATGAATTCAGAGAAATTCAAAGTCTGTTTTTGTTTTATTTCAGGTGCTGGAGAATCTGGTAAAAGTACCATTGTGAAACAGATGAAGTAAGTTGGAACATGGCTTTTTGTAAGGCTAGATTTCCTCCTAATGGGTAAAAAGTCCATAGTATCTTTTCATTTTAGGTCCATGGTATTGACTTGTGGTTTTCTTTTTAAAGAATCATTCATGAGGATGGTTATTCAGAAGAAGAATGTAAACAGTATAAAGTAGTTGTCTACAGCAATACTATACAGTCCATCATTGCGATCATCAGAGCCATGGGACGGCTAAAAATTGATTTTGGGGAAACTGCCAGAGCAGTAAGTGTTTCTCTTTTCTTCTTCACTTGCTTTTATTTAGTATGTGCAAGTTAAGCAAAATTTTTAGGTCATATTTTAGGGAAATAAATTTAAGTAACAAGGTAAGATGTAACAAAATACCGTGTGTTCACTTGAACAGCATTAGCAATCTACTTTAGAAAATATTAAAACCACCATAGGAGTATAGGAAATGGGATTTTGTAGATATACTATAGATTTCTGTGATAACTTCTATTCAGTTGCTTCTTTTATAGCACTGTTGACATTTATTTTTTTTAAATATTATTTTTTATTTGTAGTTGGACACAATATCTTTATTTTATTTTTATGTGGTGCTGAGGATCGAACCCAGGGCCTTGCACGGGCTAGGCGAGCGCGCTCTACCACTGAGCCAAAATCCCAGCCCCAGTTGACATTTATTTTATAGTAATTAATAATAATAGTAAATTAAAAGGAATATTGCCATGATACATAGCTCTATTTTCTGAGGTATAGAGATTAAAAGCAAAATCGCTTTTACAGAATAAACTGTAAAGACACGAGCACTAAGTCCATTAATTTTGGGGGGCGATTTTAGAATTCAGGAATATGACATCCCTATACTGCATTGAACCATAGGCTTTAGAAATGTATTGTACAAAGTTATAGATATTCTTTAATGCCTTTCTCATATCAAATATTAAAAAGCTGTATTGATTAATTATATTAATACTTAGTGGACCTTGAAGGTCTAGTTTGAAAATTAGGAGATTAGATGCCAGTGGGGAGAGAACCACTGTGAAGGTAGGAGATCTTTTATTGTCAGCCAAATTTCAAGGAAAGTATAGATTATTTCCTAGAAATAAGGAAGTCTTTTTTTTATAAATTTTCTTTCTTTGTACTAACTTTTCTGTGCATTCGAGGCAAGAACACTACCAACTGAGCTATGTCCCCTGCCCTCTTCCTCCCCTTTCTAATTCTTCTCTATTATTCACTCTGCTTCTCTTTTGTGTTTGTTGTATCTGATAACTAGTTAGTAATACTGTATGTATTCTCTACCCTCTCTCTGTTGGCTTTTTCTCCATCTCAGTTATTTATTTCTCTTAGATTCTTCTTTTCCCTTCCCCCTTTTTCTTTCTTTCCCCTTTCTCTTTTATTTATTTCCTTTATCAAGTTAATGTTATTAATTTTTACGTCATAACACTCTTATATCACTGGATGGAATTGACATCATTAATTCCTGTCAGGCTCCTAAATCATCTAGCTTTCCAGTACCAATTATCCTACTCTACAATCCTATGTAGTTTTGTTGTTTTTCTTTTTTTTCTTTCACATATAAGGATTTATATTTGCAATTCCTCTGTTCCTTTAGTTTTTCTGTGATTGCCTAGAAAATGAATGGAAAGAATAGAGCTGAGTTTGGGATAGATTCCTTCTTCATATCTGCTTAAGGTTGAAAGTATGAAGCTCATTGTACATTGTAAAGAGGAACCTCTTTATAGACCTATAAAGAAGGTTTATTGTGGGGAATCAAGAGCAGGTTGGTGAGAGATTAAATGGTATGGGAAAAAATGTTTCTGCCTAAAAGTATTTTCAGAATCAGAACAGCAAAAATATGTAGTAATAGAATATCATTGTATTTAAAAAAAAAACAGTAATGCTTCATGAGATTATTTGAATACCTATATGAGTATAGATAGGTCAAATTTCAAAATCAAGGGATTGCAAAGTTTTCAAATGTTAGGTAAATCATTATACCATATGTATAGAAGGGCTTGCTCACTGTTGAGTGAGTTTGACAATTTGTGTAATGCCCAAGTCTTTTCTCAGTAATTGATTCTTTGTTTTAATCTTTTATCTTTGAGGGCTAGAAATGTAACTCAGTGGTAGAGCACTTGCCTAGCATGAGCAAGGCCTGTGTTTGACCCTTAGTACTGCTCAAAAGAAAAAAAAAGTATATCTTTGAAAAGAGAGAAGGATAATATAGATCTTAAATGAATATCTTTAAAGACGGTTCTGCCCTAAGTGTTACTAGAGATGAAAGAACACAGGATAGGATTTTTTTTTTTAAGTTAAAATAAATACCTTTATTTTATTTATTTATTTTTATGTGGTGCTGAGGATTGAACCCAATGCCTCACACATGTAAGGCCTCTACTGCTGAGCCACAACCCTAGCCCCAGGATAGGGTCTTAAAGGAGGGGATATTACTAGGCAAAAACCATTAATACCAAAGGCCCAACCAGAGTTTGGCAAAATTGTACTGTGGGCAGTTTGTTTTGCTTAGGTTGATGTACAAGTTCAGATAATGAATGGTCAAGTTTTAGGAGATTTGGTTATGATTTTATCTGTGATTTGAAATGCCTTTTACCTATTTATTTTGTCTTGATGATTACTGAAAATACAAATGTGATTGCTCCCATTTTCCCTTTACTTTTTCTTTATACTGTATGTGTGTATATAT